ACTTCCTGGGTGCAGGTAATATTCTTCATGGATGATTCTGCAAGGAGATTCTTGGCTTTGTGAAAAGATGCCCAAAGAATCTTCTTGTAAGGTAAGATTTCTGTTCTTTGAATTGGATTTTAAGCTATTCTTTATTCCAAAATATTTCTAGCTGGGTATTATATGTTCTGTGTATTGTATAAGAATCCTGGACAAGCATTAGTCAAGACTAAAACCACTTTGTCCCCATATCAAATGGAAATTTCAGAGTTTTGATTTTTGGTTTTTGTTTTTGGCAGTACTAGGGATTGAACCTATGGCCTTTGCACTGAGCTGTAGTCTCGGCCCTTTTTAAATTTATATTTATTTATTTATTTTTGGTACTGGGGATTGAACTCTGAACTCTGTGCTTATGAAGCAGGTGGTGGAACCACTGAGCTAAATCCCCAGCCCATCTCAGACCTTTAAAAAAAAACTCGTTTTTCTTTTGTTAATTTTGGACGAGGTCTCATGATGTTGCTCAAACTTGGCATCTTCCTGCCTCAGCCTCCCAAAGTGCTAGGATTACAGGCATGTACCACCAGGCTTGGCTGAGAATCTTCTTTTATATGTACATTGTGACTTTTTCACATTATCGTGGAAAGACTTTGACATAATGGTTTTCCACCCCCTTCCTTGCATGTAGCGCCTACAGAAATCTCCAACTTGTATGTAACAGTTTGTGCTGTTGCCATGGATGTGATTCAGAGACATGCATTCCAGTTAATTATATACACTATCAATTTACCAAGGGGAAAGAGTAAGTTTTGAAGCCAGAAATCACAGGGATACATTTGAAATTAATATTTGATGGTGTGACAAAGAAACAGAGAAATTATCGAAACACAATCTGACCAAACAATAAAGAAAACCCAGAACTACACCAAATCAAAAAGCACCCTCCATCACAATCTGACAAAAAGCACAGCCTTACTATTAAATATTTGCAATGAATCTCTCTCTGTCTGCCACCTTTCAAAGAAAGAACAAGATATATACCAGCAATAAGACACGTGTTTCCCACAGTACCAAGACCTTCAGTTGGCAGCGTATTATTTAGAGTTTTCCTCTGCTTATTTGTGTGTGTGGACGTGTTTATAGAAGAGCAGAACAGAGAGGCAGGAATACCTGTGTCTGTGGTGGGCTGGTTATAAATGCACGTTCAGAGGCAAATGACCATGATAAACTGCTGTTGAGGAAACTGCTTCATTTAAATGAAGTAATTTCCCTCCTGCTACCTCACAGAGCGCTCACCAAGTAAGTCATGTAGAGAGCGAGAAGCCCGCATGGCTGGTTTTCAGTGTCATCCTGCAAGGCGTTCGTTATGGAGAGGGGTGCAGGTGGTGCCCAGATGCTTCACTGGCAGCCCTCGGTGATGAATGGAGTTGCACTCTTGTCTGCTGGCATCTGGTTTTAGAAGTTATGTATAAAGAAAGGATGGTTGTAACCCGAACAGTCAGAGAGGTTTAAAATATCCAGTGTGTTGAGGAAGATGCACCTAGAGTGACGGCTCCTGGGAGGGGGGCAGCTTCTCTAAATGTCTGTGTGTGTGGAGAGTAAACAACACTTGGATAACAGATCAAGAGCGAAATATTGAAAATGAGCCGGCATTTTGGAAGTTACGAACATGGTTAATAGGTAAAACTATAAAACTATTCAAGCACAAATTCATCAGCCAGAATTTTAATGCAACAGCAGGGAAAGAGCCTAGAAGTCCAAGCTGTCCTTACAATAGGAGGGAAAAAAAAGCTCACAAATTGAAAATGAATGACTCTGCTTGGACCCATCAGAGAGCCAGGCTGACTGGGTTAACTACTGCCTGGGAAGTGGAGAGGGCTGCCCTGGGGTTCCAGCTTCTCAGGAGCCCCCCACCCTCCCCTCAGGAACAGTTAAACTGTAATTGGTGGTCACCAATGCTCAGCAGTCCCTCCTCTGAGAGCGGCAGACTGTGAGCCCATCCTAGGGGAGTGTACTTTTAGAATTTGCTTCTGGGAATCCTACTTGCGTCTCACAAAAATCACCCCCAGTTTCTCACAGTAGGAGAGGAAAGAAACCATTTCGAAATAAATATGCTCAGAGAATTAATTCTCTTTTTAACAGAAGCCTGCCCTCAAAAGAGACTGTTTTATGCTGTGACCTGAAGGATGGAAAATAGTTAAAGCCACCAGCTGCCTCTACTTTTCTGTCTTGCCCAAAGGGCAAAAAGAAAGCAGATATCCACTTGTGAAGGTCACATTCCAGGGGAACAGGTTCAGCGAAGGCTGGGACCTAGTGGCAGAACTGAATGAGGGCTTTCCCAGAGTTCTCATTGTTCACATTGGGTGGGCTCCTGGAGTGTAGCAGGATAAAGCCGAAGCAGTGCCAGGCTTGTACTCTTGGGGAAACCCAGAGGCAGCAGAGGAGACAACAAAGACAATAGGGGATATTTTGGCCTTCAACAGTCAACAGTGTAACTCCTAGAGAGGGAAAAACAGACCCTTACTTTAAATTTAAAAGCCTCTTTATCTTAGTTCCTTTCACACAGTGCATTTCATCCTGCTTTCAAATTAAAAGGCACGCTAATGGGCAAAAAAATAACTGTCTGAAGAGAAGGAGAAAACAGCTAACTCATATTTGGAAGTGATGTTTGAATTATCAGACCAAAAATTTAAAATACCAAGGGTTAATACGCTAAAGGCCACTTAACATGGACAAAAACCTAGATTTCATTCTTTAGCACAGAAAAGTCAAAAGAAAAAAAGAGCTAATGGCTCCAATGTGTAAGTGGATAGTATGCAAGCACAGACAGGTAATATAAGAGGAGTCAACAGCTAAAAACTGTAACAGCCAGGTGTGGTGGCACACGCCTGTCCTCCTAGCACTCAGGGAGGCTCACAAGTTTGAGCTCAGCTTGGGCAGCATAGAGAATTAGAGGCTTCAAAATGTAAAATAAGAAAAGGATCTCGATCAGTGACAAGACCCTGGGATCCATCTCCAGTACCTCAAATAGACAAAAAGTCACAACTCTCTGACAAAAATAATGCTCTGGGTGCATCAGCCTACTGGACACAGCTGAGGAAAGAGTCAGAGTCTACCTTTGCTTAGACATACACTATTAAGAGAAAATCAAAGACAAAGAGAAAATCGTGACAGAAGCCAGAAGAAAAGCACATGCAGATATGGTATGTTGGCACAAAGACAATAATTTTGTCAGACTTCTCTTCAGAAACTGTGTAAGTGAGAAAGAACAAAACCACCAACCCACAATTCTGTCTTTTTGGGAAATTATCTTTTGAAAGCTAAATAAAATTTTTCTCTGACCAACACTGAGGAAATTTGTTGCCAGTAGATCTGCCTGTCAAGAAGTATTTAGAGGACATTTAAAGAGAAGGAAAAGATAGAGGTTAGCAACCCAGCTCTGCATAAGGAAGGGAAGAGTGTTAGGGAAACAAAGACAGATGGGCTTCTTGGTGGCCTCTGCTGAGGTCCTGTGCCATCGGACATAGGGGTCACTGTGCATTCTGACAGCCGCAGCCCACACATTTAAAGGTGATGGTAAGAGTGAGTTCATAGTGAGTTCTCTGGCCTATGGTAGGAAGGAATCCACTGTAAAGAATCTGGGCAGACTGTGAATGAGAAATGAAACTATGATGAAAGCTATCTTCTCCTTATCTTTAGAAATAATAATTAATTTTCTCTTGTGCAAAGGAAACATTTTCATTATAGAATCATCATGCCAATTCTGGCATCATTTTGCGGCTAATTAAGAGTGTTTAAGCGTAGACATTAAAAGCTCTTAGCCAAAACTTATTACACGTTTTTTCAGATTAGAAAAGCAAACTCTTCTGAAGCATCCTGTAGGTTTTATTTTCTAAGAAGATAAAGTTGATTGCTCTAACCCAAAGAAACTAAAAGACCTTGGGTGCCTCTCTCATTCACTCATTCATTGAAAAAGAAAAGAGTTCTTTGAGACCAAAAGTTAGGAATCCAGTGTGGATTACATCTTACTTTGGCCCATTTCTTGCTAGGACCTCAAGTGGAATTGCTGCTCTGGAATTTCCCTGGCAGAGACTAGGTATTTGGTCCTTTTAACCCAGGAAGGTGATTTTTTTTTTTTAAATTGATGGTTAAAACCGAAGCTTATATTTATCAAATACTGGTTTCTTTACTGATAAATAGAGAGGTAGCTATCAACCTTGTAATAAAAGGTTTATAAACACTGAGAAGTGAGGCTGGAATCATGAATTGGGGCTGCAGATGAGGTTGTGTCACTTGCTGGGCCACAGCACTGCCATTCCAGTCTTGATTTGTCATTTCTGTGTTACCACAATTACTGCTGTTTTTCCCCTCATGATTTAACATTCAAACTGGGGGTGTGGGGTGTGGGTGGAGCTTGGGTTTAGAATGCATGAGGCCCTGGGTTGAATCACCAGCACCAAAATAAGAACTTGCCTATGTTCTTACAAAACTTTCTAACTAAATAAAAACAAGTGTATGCACCCTGCAATTGATAGGTAAATTGAACACAGTAATATTTGTATATTGCCATGAAGGGCGACTTAATCAGTGACCTTTCTGTAATCTGATCATTTTCATAGCAACTACACTATAATTAAAAAAAAATAGCTCAAAGGTTATGTTGTTAGTAGTATGGATAGTAAGTGTATCCTCTAAAATCCTGTAGGGAAGGAAAGCCATGCTTTTATGAACTGGAGAGCAAAGAGAATGAAAGTAATAGCATAGAAAGCAGGAACATAGCTTCTAATCTGTGTGACTTCTAATCAGGTGCTTGGCGAAGTCTGACTTTTGTCTAATGCCTCCCACACTCCCTGCAAACGCAAGGCTTCTCCCCTAGGGGCGAGCTGTGGGGCACCATGCCCCTTGACTTCTTATGGAAGCCTTGCTCACTCTCCGTAGTTGAGACTGACCTGGTACTCACTATGTAGCTCAGGCTGGTCTCGAACTCATAGCTATCCTCCTGCCTCAGCCTGCCGAGTGCTGGGATTACAGGTGTGCGCCACCATGCCCAGCCCATTCTCCATTCTTGACACTTGCAGTTGTAACGTGTTCTTTCCCCATGCACAATTGACCTGTGCCTCTGGCTCCACTTCTTGGCCTCTTCTAAGCTCTTCACCCACCACTCCCTCACCTCCCAATTCCCTGCTTATATATAGGGTGACCTAGAAAAGGACCTGGGAGTCTCCCTTGCTTTTGCCTATTTCCATGCCTCTTTGTGTCTTCTTTGAAACTTGACCCCCTCTTTGTCATTCCAGCTGTGTGGATCAGAATGTTCTTGCCACTGGACAGTGACTCCCTGGCTGGAGGGCTTTTCTTGAAGCTGTTCCTGGGCAGATCTGAGAGTGGTGATCTGTTCCACATGTTGCCTGAGGAACTTTCTACTGGAGCAGGGCAGAGAGCACCAGGCACAGGATGGATTTCTGGCTTTGCATCTGCTCTTCTTGCTGGGTACTGGTTCTTCCACTTGCTGCCACGTTTGATGCCCAGCCTCTGGTCACACGGTTTCCCATACCCGATCAGCAGCTTGTGGCCCAGCCTGATGACCTTGTGTTGCAGTAGATCTGCCCATGGTGTTGAAAGGCACCAGCTTTTGCTCCTCCATATTCCAGGCAAAGTGTACATACATCATCCAGTGAGCCTGGGATTTGTCCTTTCCATCCACCTATTCATGGCTGTTTCTTCCTTTGGTGATCATTCAGGAGTATTCACTCTTGGCCTTCGCATAGGAGTCAAAGTGCAGACCCAGTGGCAGCTCGTTGCCTCATTTCACACTCCAAGCCCAGGCTGATGGTTTCCGGACTTCCATGGGTAGCCTCAGGTCTGGGCGTTTGGGATGCCCCTGTGTCTGCCATAGTATCCTTTATAAACTCAGGGGACTCACGAGCAGCACAGCTGTTGATGGAGTCCTGGCACTTCTTATAATACAGGTGGTCATCCTGGGGCTTGCTGACATCTTCATATGTATAACCCTTTCTTTCCAGGCTGTACCTCTTCAATCTCAGTTCTCCTGGGTCCTAAGATGGAGAATAGTAGAGTAAAGGTGAGAATCAGGAGCCTTTCTCCCTGTTTCTTCAGAACTGGAGCAGGGAGGGATTGGAGGGAATGGGATGGGATCATGGCCCTCCAGGATGGGGTTGCTATCCTGAGCTTGGGCCTTTAGAGACCGGCAGCAGGCACAGGGAACATCCTGTGGACATACAATGTCCAGGAGCCTCTGCCTGGGAACCCAGAAGTCACTGGGGAGCATGTGGGCTGGGGCAGCTATGTCCAGGGCTAGTAGCTGGTTTCCCAGATACTAGCCAAGGGAGGAAAGGGTATTTCTGTGGTTAGAGTCTTTAGAGACCCTTGGGCTGAGGGAATTGCTTTTCTCAGGTGGGGAATATTTGGAGTCATTTGGGGAAGGGGATTTTGGGTTTCTTGGGTGGGAAGTATTTGGGGTACCTCAGGCTGAGGGAACTGGGTTTTTTTTCCTTTTTATTGAGGTTATTGGTACAATCTAGGTATACAATACAATTACATTCATCATTGGGGTTCTGTACCTTTACATAATAGGTCTTGATTCTCATTTTTTCCCCTTGACCCTGCCCTCCCTTCACCCCCTCCTCCCCTCCCCATTTACAAACACTTTATTTCCATTTTTTCAGTTTCTCATATTTTTTTCCTCTCCCTTATTACCTTTCCCCCACCCTTCCCACTTTCCCTACACCTTTAGCCCTTTACTTCCTATTTCACATTATTAATTATCTCATTAGGATCCTGTGTACTATTA